TAGCTCCTCTCCAGAGAATGTTATGAGGTAATTTAAGGCCACATAGCAAAACCCAAAATTACCCACTGTGATAATACACCCCCTTTAAAATGCTTCGAGGGATAGCAGTTAAGAGTTTGATTCACGTCTGTGGCAGCTATCCAGGACGATCTTCGTGATAAGTGTTGCCAGTTTCTCAGTCTTGGCTGCTGTGTTTTGGGCAGCCTAACCTTGTGGAAAGAAACAATCACAAGGGGTCTTCTTCATTCTATGGGCTGATGTGTTTTCCACTCAATATGCCTGGAGCAGAACTGGTTAGGATTCAGGAAGCCAACACAGATTATCTCAGGATGTCAAAGATAGAAAGTCCTGAATAGAGTATTGGGGCACAGGTTCCAATTCCCGAAAGCTGTCCTTTTATATTATATGTCGTTGTTAAAGAAACATCATCAGGAAATACAAGTTAAAATGCACTGGTGGGTTGAGGTCAGCCTCACAGTAGAATATAAACCTTGTTTTATAGCTGAAAATTATACTCTTTACTGGACATGATTTGTGATTTGTATTCTTATCAGAATTCAGAGAATTCAAACCACTTCAACATCATTTAACAATAATATTCCTTGCATTTGATTCAGCACCTTATCACATTATCAAGACATCTAAAAGCACTTCACAGAATATACTGAAAGTGCTATGACTGTATTTTGCGGGTGAATATGGCAACCGATTTGTGCAGCTAACTATACTACATACTGTCTCACATCCATCCTCTTTGTAGGCAACTGAAGTTAACAATTAATGAATATTGTTTCCTTAAACCATTTTTTCTTGAAATTTCTTCTCTGGTTCTTTTTTTAAAATTTTAACTGAGTGATTGANTTTTTTAAAAAACCGAGAGCCCAGTATAGTCTGGTTAAAGATTGTGAAATTGCAGTCTTACTTCAGTACATTAAACATGACGGCCTACACTGACCTTACTGAACACAAAATTGGAAATGTGGAAAAGCTGATAATAAGAGTTGGTTCATAAGGACAGACCACTTTGATCATCTCTGACCCACACCCACTTAATGTTTGATACAAGAGCACAATAATTAAGTACAACCACCTGAAGGAAGCTATCCTTACAAAATATTAATACAACAACAAAATTACATTTGTATAGCACCTTTCATGTCGGGAGAACGTCCCAAGGCTCTGGACAATCAGTTTTTCGGGATCGGGGAGGGTGGAGGGCAGGGGCGGGGGGAGGAGGTTCGGTCGAAGAGGAGGGCCTTGAGACTGGTCTTGAAGGAGTCAAGGGATGGGGCAAGGTGGATGGACTGCGGGATGGAGTTCCAGAGGGTGGGGGTAGAGTGGCTGAAGGTGGGGGATGTGAAGTTGGCCGAAGCCTGCTGAGAGAAGGGATGAGGCAGGTTAGTAGGGGGTTAAGAGGTCGCAGAGGTAGAGGGGAGCAAGGCCATGGAGGGCTTCGAAAGTGAGGAGCAGGATCTTGAATTATATTCTCTATTTGATGGGAAGCGTTTCTTGAAAGATAACTTACCTGATGGCAGTACTTTTGCAACAAGAATCTCCCTGAGCTGAGTCGCACACTTGACATACAGGACAAAATACTAATAAATGACCTACGTCTTGCTGTATGCTACTGCTAGAAAGAAACTTGCTTACAAAAACAATGGAGTAACCTTAAAGCAAATGAGAAGCAGTTTAGGCATGCAGTAAACTTCATACATGGAAAAGCTGCTTTCAAGTACAGTCACCTTGAATTCAGATTTACTCAGTGAAGCCCTTTGCAATGCACTTCTTTCTCCCAGCGAGAGTTTGCAAACATTACTATTTCTTCCAAAAGGGAATTCATTGCTTTCAACCACTTATAACATTCAGTCAAGTTAAGTAATAACACCAAGCAAAGAAGTACACCAGTTTTAAATCTGGTATTAGTTTTGATTTTGCTGAAAGCTATTTGGAATAGAGAGGCACTTATGCACTTTTCTTGAAGTAGAAGTAAATCTGTTGTTACCGACGATCTACACAACGATCGAAACGATGGAACCACTTGTGTCACCGAATATTTATCACTGTCCAGCCATTCCGTGCTCCCATTGAGTACTTTGATTTCAATTCTTTATTTACGCAGACTATCCTGCAGTCTGAAAAGCCTAAACATAATCAAAGATGACGACTAATACCGGGAAGATTGCAGTGCTAAATAATTAATGTCAGAAGACTATTACACTTCTGGATATCTGGGTCCACCATCTACTTGAAACACAACTGCAGCAAAAAATAAAATCCATGTAAACCTGTATTTTGTGGAATTATATAGGTTAATTTTACTTTTTTTAAAATCTGTTCATCAATGCGATGGGTTTTAGGTTATCTGAAACCAGTAGCTGTCTGATGTAGTGCAGGAAGTGGGATAAAATGCAATTGGAAACTGAAACCATAAAAAAGTTTAATGTCATTAGCTAAGAATGGATCAACCAAGGGGGTCTAGAATTATCAAAAGCAGCAACCCACAGATACTTGAAACTTCTGCGAGTCTCCACTTTCAGCCTGCTGCAATCCCACACCTAGTAAATGACTCCAGGCTGCAGACAGTCAGTGTTTGATGGTATTGGCTGCAGCTGAGCCCCTTGTAGCTATTTGTGCTGCAGACTCAGTGTCTCGGATTTGCTTGCAGTGCCTCTGGAGGGCTGCGCATGTGGAGCCAGCACCTCCCCGAGGGCGTACAGTTTGACTTGGCTGTCAGTCTCATCACCTGAGTGTTCTCACAGTTCCAAAGGAGCAGAAAGGTCTCTGGGAACAGAATCACATACACGGTGTGCCTATAGAGAGCACATCTGCTGTACCTTCTGCTACTTTGGTCTTTTCTAAATGACTCACCATTACATTACATATCATTTACAAACAGATCTTTCCTGAACACCGTGTGTTACAGCAAGTTCAAGCACATTAGGCTGAGGCGTCTGGATCTTTGCTTAGTTGAAGTAAAATCTAAAAAGCTCTTTCAGACATACATTCAGGTCTGCAGCAATAATAAGGTTCAACAATTCCTTATCGTACCATTTACCAATTTTCCTACAGAATTGACCAATACAGTGCTTACGTATGCACAGCAATGTGAGCGAGAAGCTGATTCGTTGTCTCATTCCTGACTCTAATTGCAGAACATCAAGTTGGACAATAATGTTATTGAAGTTCTGGTTACATCATTGGTTCTTCAATAGCATTAACGTAAGGATGAAATGAAAGTTTGTGGGCAGTTTAATTGACCACTTGAGACATCTTAACAGACTGGAGATTGAGCCCACTGTAATGCACATCCGTCAAGTTATACTGTATCTGGTGGGTCTCACACTGCACCTGAAACTAACTCCCCCAGGTGGTTTCAGGAGCCGAACTTCAGACAGTTCTACACCATTTCAGCTTCATTTATACTCCATTTACCAATGTCTGTTGAAATCACAGCAATTCACTGCCCAATTGCAGAAGAAATGCAGCATTGCGGTGCGGATCTCAATTCAATACAGCAGTAAATTGGCAGCTTCCTACTGTCAAACCTGGTGGAGTTGGCAACCATTGTGGTTAGCTCAACACAATTGCTACATAGACCAAAATAGCAGAATGGCAACATTTTATGGTTTGGTTAATTCAACCTCAGAAAGGCTCAAAAGCCTTTGAGTTAACCCGTGCACAGCAATAACCCACAGTAAGTCATGAAGTGAATGACCAATTTTATTTAAGGGATTGCTGAGCAGGACATCAGGACGTCACTTTTCGTGCCATGGGCGATCTTTAATATCCACCTGAACAGGTCCTTGGGTCCACAGCTTAGCATCTCATCCAAAGGATTGCACCTCCACCAACGCAGCCCTCCTCCAACACTGCACTGGAATGTCAGCCTATTCCCTTATGGGTAGCCATGCAATGTAACCACAATGGTTGCCAAATTACAGCAAAAATTTGGGTGTTTCTCACTTGTTAATATTCTGAACAAGACCTTTTCATTTAACAATAAATTTCAAACAAACGGCCTACAAAGTAACCCATAAAAAAACTGACCTCAATTAACCCATAAAACTTACTGGTGCGTTCATTGTAACATAATATACCCTGCCCTCGGGTTAAATGGCTATTAATGGCAGTTACTGATGGAATTCTGAAGCAATGTTATGAGGTAAAAGTGACGTTCTCTTCGAGATGCTTACAAATGTGAATTGAAAAAAGTAATAAACCTTGCAATCGATTTAGCACCTTTCACATCGGCAGTATGTCTTAAAGCGCTTCATATGACTTACAGGATACTTCCTTCTCATATGCCAAATGACCAAGTACTGCAGGTGGCTCTTCTTGGTTGGAGAGATTACAACAGCTGTTTTGTTGTTTTCATTCAGAAGGGTTATGGTGTGAGGGCATCCTGAGCTGGTCACAACATAGGCCATGTGGCTATCATTCAAGACAAGAAAACCTTCAAAAGCAATCAAAGTGACCACTCATTGGAAATACAGTGTTGTTGTATTGTAAATACTGATTTATGGATAAGTGATTTCTCAGTGGCTAACAGACTCTCTAATATGGTGCTTAAATGGTAGTAACACTATTTGCTCATAGAATCAGAAAGTTTACAGCACAGGAAGAGGTCATTCAGTCTGTTGTGTCTATGCTGGTGCTATTGAGTTTCCCCACTATCTACCATCTATCATTCTCTGTTCAAGTATTTATCCAAATTCCTTTTAAATGCATAATGAACTGAGTTTAGGAACAGCCATTCATGACATCATTTTATATGCTAACAACCCACTGTGTGTGTATGTGTGCAAGCATCAAGCATATGTGTAAAAAATTGTTTAATCTACTGTATATATAAAAACATTCTTCTGGCAATAATCCTCAATTTATGTTATCTGGTGACTGTCATGCTTCACTAAAAAAGCTGTCTGCACATATGCCTTAGTTCAGAAAGATATTGATCTGTGAAATATTAACTTCTGCAGTAATTTTATTTTTCTGATGAGGTTGGCGAAAAGATAACTGGAATGTGGAACAGACCTGGACAATGGATCAAAACCTATGCAACCGAACAAAACGGAAAAGGGTAATTTTTTAATTGTCGGCTTTTCCAATATTAACTAGCTTTCACAAAGTAAATAAGGTGTACCCTTGATAAGACTACTGTGGAGAAGTCATTACTACGTTTATGTAGCATTTCAGAGCAATTAAAATTTGGCAAATTCTTAAATACAGCGTTCATTTTGAAGCCAGTTTTCTGTATGTTCTTTAGAGAACTCACTTCAGAGTTAGGGCTGAATTCAACAATTTGCCAGGTTATTCATGCTTCAAAGTGTTACATAAACAGAGTAAATTTAGATCCAGGGGGAATTTGGAGTCCTGTAGCTCAGAGGTTAGAAATAAAATAATAAATTAGTCATTTCAATCCACAACTGTTTGTGGGACGCTGATGTGCAAAATTGGCTGCCGCATTTCACCCACAAATATACAGTCAATTCACTTTACAATCTATTCTGTGAAGCGCTTTGAAACGTCTAGAAGAAATGAAAAGCGCTACATCAAATGCAAGGATTATTATTATTATTTCTCCCCAAGTTTCCCCCATTCACAAATCTACAAGCTTAAAACTACATGTTTCCATCTAGTATCTTAATGGAAGAAAAAACATTTTATTCATTGTGGCTAATTTGATTTTATATAAGATTTTCACTGTGAATTGAATTGAGTGCCAGAAATTGAGCCCACTGAGATGGAAAGTCTTGAGATCACTTGTGGAAGGAACAAGGGAGAGAGAATGTGGTCAGAGGGAAGGAAGGAGAAATACTGATACTCTCATTTGGTGGTGGGTGGGGAGAGAATTAATGTTAGTAATAATCAGAATTATGGCATCTATAGAAATATCCCTTCCAGATTTATTGTCCCCTTTTCCTAGAGAAGTGAGAGATGAAGAGGAATAGTATGGGTGGGAGATAAACATAACATCAGGATCTTATACGTGGTTCAGCTTAGACTAATAATTCCCTGCATGAACATCATGAAATGAGGCCATAACAAGTGCAGGCATTTCTTCATGTTGTAGTCTTATTGTGAATTGTACCTTCAGTATCTGAAAATTCTACAGCTTTCAAGTTCACCACATGTTGTGTTAATCATATCTGGTACACTTTCAATAATGAATGGTTATTTTGCAAAACCTGAAGAAAGAGTCACAACCACAACATTCTTAGCTTACTCCAAGAATGTTGTACTTCCTGAAAAAATAGATTGTTTTGGTTTAAAAGTATGACTGTTAGCCTGAGGAGACCAAGCATAAATGGAGTAATTTTTGTGTTTCGAATGGATGTCTCTCAATGGAATACACAAAAGCACTGAAATTTACTACGTCGGTAAGAAGTGGCTCACAAAATGGACGGGCTGAAAATGTATTGAACCTTAACAGATCAGATCACTCTTTAAAAATAGCCTATTTGTGAACGTTATCTGCATTTCATCCTGTTACTAATGCCCTATTTATCCTGCACGGTTAGTGTCAATGCTGCTGCTTCAGCATTTAATCAACACCTAAATAGCAATATAAATTGAGCTTCAGGGCACCAATTTAATTTTAAATCACTTGGTCCTATACCTTAAAGTTCATGATTAAACTTGGTTACATAACAGAAAGTCATTTCTGGTGAATTCCATTTAAGACTGGAATTTTTGTTTTAAAGAGCAAGCATCTTAAAATACATTGTGGTCACTGTCAACCTTTTCCCCTTTCAGCAAGCGGTCAAAGTGACGAGCTTTGAAAGATTGATCTCATTTGTAACGTTGATCTAATTGTAAGTGACAATAGTTAATTTGTTCACAAGTAAAAGTGATGCCAATCCACAAAGCGCTGGGGGCATGACATTGTACTGATGCACTTCAGTATCATGAGATCTATCCCCCTGTTGGTTTCAGGGTACAAAAGACTGGTTGAAGCAAATCTCCTCTGCAGTTTAGGTGTTGACTGACATTGATTAGTATCAGTTTTGCTCTCATTCCCCCACCCCCCACATGAACGCACACACACACATACACAATCTTTGAGATGTGACTTTGACCTGGGAAATAACTCAATAAGTAGCACATATGTCTGAGCATTCCTCCTGAACACAATGATTGTTGCAGGTGCAGAAGTACAGCGCGAGTCTATTCCAATTAAGATTTAAATATTCATTCCAGTGGTATCAATTTTACATCACTGCCAATGAAAATAGAATCATTTTAGTGGAATGGTTTATAAATCTCAATTGCTGTTAGCACTGCTGCATATATTGAAGATGAAATTGAATGTCTTGAGAAATTAAAATGTGCCAAACGGAACTTAATTCTGAACTTCAAAAGAAACACCCATGCAAAGCAAGTATTTATCATTCAGAAAGTATGGGATATTTTAAACCAAGGTTATTTGAAAGAAGATATTATATTTTTATTGCCTCTTTTAATTTATGCAGGCCTGGAATTTGATTTATTTAACATTAAATCCATCCAGAGTAGAAGGGCAAACACTCATCCTTGATAATGATTTCAAAGATCTGCATTGTAGTGGAAGAGATGAAACAGAATACTTTTACTTCATGTTTAAATTACTTGTTCATGTTAACAATTCCACAAGATGCAGCTCCATTGCAGACATTTAACAGCTATATTTATATTCATCGTTTGTATACATAGGTCATGACGTTTTGTACGAATGCCTCAAGTTCAACATTTGAAAGAAAAGACTTTGGCACACAGATAACAAATCCCCCTGCAAACAATGCAAATGTTCATCGGCCATGCGTAAGCCTACAGCAAGCTTCCTACAAGAGAAACAATGAGTCAGTGGTGAGCTATTCAGACAAAACCTCACTGACATTCACATGCTTAACTAAGATTCAATCCGAACTACAAGACTGAAATGAAATCATCCCACCGCACTGTCACGTCTGGTGTCCCCCGGGGCTCTGTCCTTGGCCCTCTCCTTTTTAATATCCACATGCTCCCCATTGGTGAACATCATCCGCAGAAATGGGGTCAACTTCCATATGCATGCGGATGACACCCAACTCTTATCTTTCTGCCTCCACCCTCAACTCCAGGACCACTGCTGTCCTGACAGACTGTCTGTTAGACATCAAGTCCTGGATGAGGGCAAACTTCCTACAGTTGAATGTGAACAAGACTGAGGCCCTCCTGATTGGCTCGCGTCAGCGCCTCTGGACCTCAGGCTCTGGCAGCATCAACCTCCATGGTTGCACACTCCCAACTCACCAAGCTAGTCAGGAACCTAGTTGTCTTGTTTGACTCTCAACTGCCTGCTTCCCCACATCCAAGCCATGACCCATTCTGCCTTCCCTCACCTTCGTAACATCGCCCGACTCCGCCACTACCTCACCCCTCAGGCCGCTGAAACTCGACTATGCAAACGCCCTGCTTGTCGGCCTTCCTGGCTCCTCCCTCCACAGGCTGCAGATAATCCAGAACTCTGCAGCCCGTGTCCTCTCCTGCACCAAACTCCGTGACCCCATCTCCCCCATTCTCGCCCGACTCCATTGGCTCCCTATCCTTCAGAGGATCCAGTTCAAAATTCTGGTCCTCACCTACAAAGCCCTCAATGGTCTCGCCCCATCCTATCTCTGTGACCTCCTACCAACCCGCCCGCTCCCTCCGCTAAGCCGGCTCCGGCCTGCTCCATGTCCCTCGACCCAACCACCCCACCATTGGTGGGAGAGCCTTCAGCCACTCTGCCCCCAACCTCCAGAACTCCATCCCCCAATCACTCCGCCTCGCCCCCTCCTTAGCCTCCTTCAAGTCCTGCCTCAAAACCCTCCTCTTCGACCATGCCGTTGGTCACCCCTCTTCCCCTCCCTTCTCCCCCCTAACCACAGCTTGGGTCTGAAATGCCTAGTGCCTTGTGACGTCCTTCCAACGTGAAAGGCGCTATACAAATGTAATCTTGTTGTTTTAATAGAATTCAAAAAATAGACTTCATTTGGAGCCAATGTTACATTCAAACATAAAGAGCTGTCTTACATAATTTAATGCGTTCCCACAAACCATCTGATGGCTGAGTTGATTCAGGCACGTTGAGAGTGAAACTGAGCCATAGAAACCTAGTCTGTGATGTGTTAGTCAATCTCAACTGGGGTAATAGTTGTATTGTATTATTGGATTCTGGGGAAGAAATCAATCAGTTTTCTAGTTTTTAGCATTCCCTCCTGGAAAGTGTGTTTGTGGATGTTGCAATTGGGCTCAGCTGCAATTGACATCCCATCCCCTGCCATTGTTAAATAACACAGCAACATTCATAACTTGGCTACTTGGATGAGGTGACCGAGGATGCCCTTGGCATAACTCAGCACTTTGCAAAAAAGGTCTGGTGCCTATGAAATGATAGCTAGCATTTTGAGGAGACTCAGGGAGAAACATTGAAACAAAATGTAAATCTGACATTACACTTGGGACATTAATGTATTTCTGCCACACTTTCATGTCATAGCTCCACCACATTCAGGTCGATGCATCAGAATGTACAGAGAACCATTCTGACCCGGGATGGATGTGAAATCCACTTTTATGAAACTTTTGGAAACGGAAACACAATTCCATTCGAGGCAGGTCAGATACTGCAAGTTGAAATGTGGCACAGTATAAAGGGGCTAAGAGTGCAAAATAGCATATGTAATGTGCACAGGGAAACATTTTACCAATGACATAAAGTAAATTAAATTGACCTCTTTGGCTTTCACATTGGAGGAGCAAAGTTGACATTTTGGTCAATCTGGAGGAGGGAGAGGAACATAATGGGGGTGGAATCTATTATTGCATCAAACGTAACCTCTTGGTGGCTTAACCAAGGACAAACATTGATCAAATCATCCATGGGCTGGACCTCTCCACCCTTAAACAGAGGAAACTAGGGGTAGATTCAATATCACCTCCAATGGAAAGCCCGAATGTGAAAAGGATCAAACACAGGCGTGCTGACAGGTGACAAACCTATAGCTTTAGACCTATTGTTCAGTCATTAATGTTCTGATTGAACACTAAGCTTAATGCTGTAGCATTGTAATCTTAGTCAGCAGAGTTTCAGTTACAATCTTTGAGGGAAGATTGTCGGAAATATAAATGTGAATGGGTTGTCACAGTGCTATTGGGCCTCGACTCCCTATATTTTGAAGTTTTGTTTTGAGAAATTCACAATTTCAAATTGTCGAAATGTTTCAAGTCCAGTATCTGGGTGGCATGGCATCATTTGACTTCTATTTTTTTCACACTGGAGGACTGTTGGCCAGGAGAAACTCCCTTATGTTTTCAGATAGTGTTATTTCATCTTTAATGGCCATTTGAACAGACTCAGGGCCTTGGGTTGGCAATGAAGGATGACATTGTCGTCTGACAGTGAGGCGCTCCCCTAACACTGCATAAAGCCAGCCTGGACTAGGAGCTCAAAGTCCTGATATGAGGCATCAATCCACAGCCTTCTGTCCCAGGCTAGAATGCTACCAATTGAACCAGACTGACAGCTAAAATAGAATCACTACTGTTACAAGAGTGCTGAATGCGATCTTATGACAATAGAGAAATAAAAATTATTATGATCAACTTCTTAATTGTGATGTATACATAAAAGCCCAATGTTTTGTGATGTGTAAATAAAACAGTCCAGCGAAGTCAGCATAAAGTTGGAAACGCCACTAGTTAATACTAAGAGGTGATCAGTGCTCATTCTTGTATCAAAACACAATCGGTATATTTTGCCGCGACTTTTAAATTCTTTTAGTTAAATATCCAAATCTTTCTGTTGTTGCCTTAAGGATGACAAAGTCATGGGTAAACAGGGCAGGAAGTGATGTAGTCAGTGGCCATTCAATCTCTAATTAACAATTTGGTCTTTGATCCTTTAGCCCCCCCCACCCCACCCATCAAAATTAGATTCTATGAATCTCCCCAGCTCATTTACTATTTGGGATCAAACCAGAAATACATAGATATCCACGGATGTTCTGAGTAGCACTAACATCCTTTGCAGTGTTGGGAGGAGAGAGAAACAAACAGAATTTGAAAAAATAATTTTCATTGTCTATTGTTACACGAAGGGATGATCATGGTTTCCTCAGTGTGTTGAAACTGCCCGTCAGTTAAAACAAATCCAGTTTAAAAACATGAAAGCACCTCCGGAAAAGCAGCAGGAAAGTGCTAAGCAATCATCATAAACAGGATGAACTAGCAGTATTGAGATTTTACATTTGGATTGCCCGATGGCTCTCTGATGATCCCTTGGGGAATTAGCAATTGTATTCCAAGGAAATCCGTGAGATTCAGACAATGTCAGCTACTTATATCATCCAGCATTTAGAGGGTCCAACCGATGCCCCACTCCTCAGTTAGAGCCTACTCCAGTTGCATCGTGCTGCTTGACAGGCTTAATTTCAACACAGATTTCCATGTTCAGGCGTAAAGTGTGCTCTGCCACATCTTACAGTAGCAATTAGTCTAATCTCTCAGATCAAAGGAAGCAGACTGCTGGAGAGAGAAAGCCCAGGGTGCAGTTAATGATGGGCAGTAAATCCACTTCAGAAATTACTCTTCCGTCTGAAACCATTTCTTTGTACTTTGAAGTTGAGTTCCACAGCAAAATAGGTCCGTTCCCTCCATTTTTATTCCATTAAAGGGTTCAGTACCATTCGTCCACCCTTTCATTAAAGAGGACGAGTTATACTGTTCAAAGAACACGGATGACTTTTTTTAAAAAGAAACTTCCCCTCCACATTGATTTTCAGGATTAAGAAAATATTTTTTAAATGGATTAAGATAGATTTATAATAAATAATGTTTAGGAAAAATTCACACCTTTAAGATTAATATATTGACAATCCCTTTAACCCTTTGGATAGTTATTAAACCAAAAAGTTGTCAATGGTGTGTCTAGTTTTCTTATTTCTTTTGTCGGGTAATGAAACACATTGTATTGTTTTGAGATATGTTTCTTGTGCCTTTCATCATTTACTCTGTGTACACCCTTGTCAGGGAGGAGGAAACAAGCCTGATTTCAAGGCTGAATAAACAAACGTATAAAATTTTGGGAGAAAACCAAAACCAGAAATGAAGCAAATTGACTATGAGACTATTACCTTATTTGCTTAATTCGTACTCTGTGACATGAACCCAGTGTATCATTAGGGACTAAGCCAAAGCTTGGGTGTGCCAAGGACCAACATTACTGGAGATTAGATTATTGCAAGAAGTCGATTTCTGTCTGACATTTCTGTAAAAAAAAAAGTTTTTTATTTCTATAACTGAACTGACCTCACAGAATATAACTGGGCACAATAAAATAATCAGTTAATGTCTCACTGATCGAAAACCATGAAGATTAATGGTCAGAACTCTTTACAGGATTCACCATTACCAAAGCTCAGAACTGAAATAAATTTAGATAATTTTGGTGTTGCAAATGCTTTTTTATAATTTTATTTTCAGACCTAACGCATGCACCATGACTAGAGCAAACAAACACTAAGAGCAGCCAAGCACTATATTTCACTAGTGCACTAACATTTTCTGAGCTACTAAGAAACATTTAATAATTTCAGTCGTGTCCTTTCCTTACAAAAAAAGCCAAACAACTACAGAATGCTCAGATTTCTTTTCATAAAGGCAAGCAAACCTTTAGTAGCTTATTTTTTTGGGGGTGGGTGGGTGAGGCATCATTAAATCCCTCCCCTCTCCCCACATGGAAACAAACTCATTATGATTCACCTATACAACTGTACAAAAAGGCTTGTTGCACATTATTTCTACATTGCTGCGCAATTCGAGTGTATTTGAGCCAATTCTAAGTCCCCAGTGTACTCGTTTCATGGCACGGCCACGCAGCTACAACGCTTCAAGGTTTAACGCCATCTCCAGCCAACACAACAGGATCACCATCAATGCATATAATGGAGGTTAGTTCAGCTCTCTTTGCAATGCACT